GCCCCCGCCTTCCCCGCCCCCCCCCCCCCCCCAAGTCCATTACTCATGCTGCTGGCACCTTGGCTGGTGCAGGACCCATGACGGTGGCAGTATGTCTTGCTGCTCTGCTCTCCGACTCTGGGACCCATCTACTGGGCCACAGAGGCGGCTCCTGCCCATGCCAGTCCAGCCAAGCTGCAGTCCCACAGTGGATGCACAAATCTGGGGGAGACACATTCCCTTCCTACCCTCTAACACGTTGCCTGTGCCCTCCCCTGCCTCCCCCATGCATTGTTTATGCCCCCCCACCCCACAGACTTACCTACAGGGAGCTGCTCCTTACTCTGCCTGACTGCCACAGGTATGTGTGCATGCACACATGCATGTGGTACCCCCTGCCTGATCGCCTTCCTTTTGTACCCCCCAGCCCAAAGCAACCCTTTTGCAGGCTGGAACTCTTCTGACTTCTTCAGGTCTCTCACAGTCCTACTTTTCTATGATTTTGAGTTTAGAAATGACATCTTGGGCAATTTAATGCAGGGAAGGCAGTCTGGCCAACCAAGTCCCTTGGTGTCAAGTTTTCTCATGCTAAAAGCCTGCCCAGTGGCTCCTGTCTTTCAAAGCCTATTTAGTCTAGTATGGATTTGAAATAGTCTCCAGCTCCTGATTTTTGGACCTACCTTGTGGCAGATTCTGGGATTTTGGAAATGCTAATTTAGTTGTTGTTTGCCATTGGTTAGATGGTTTTTTTCCAATTATTGTAAAGACTCTGGCCAGGCAGTCCTAGTATGAATAATGTAAGAGTTAATGTTTATAATCTGGAGAGAGTAAATATTTTAAATGGGGAAAAAATGAAAGTTAGTTTTATGCTGTTTTTCCAAGTTATGTTGTCTGCTCTGTCAGTATATATCATACAGGCAGTACATACAACAAACTGAAGAATAGCTATCGCTCATCTTGCTAACCCAAATCGGTGCATTTCTGAGTTTATGGTCTTTTTAAGGCTATTTATAACTTTTTTTTCAGTTTACATTCAGAATATCTTTGTAGTTGTCGTTTGCTAAGTTCCATGTCTCCAGACTTTGTCTTAAGGTTGTACAGTTTCATGGGCAACTGGTGCCGCCTTAGTCGGGGGGGGCATGTGCCCCCCCCCCCCCCCCACATCTCCCCACTGTCGGGGTGGGGGTCCACTGACTGGGAGGGGGGTCCTCCCGCAGACAATCTTCCCGGAAGTGGCTGCAGCGCTCAGACGGCGCTTGCCGGGGGGGCACCAGCGCTCCTGTCTGCCCCCATTGCCTAAGCGGTGAGCGTGGCCAGTCAGAGGGTGCACCAGCACTCTCAGGGGGTGCACATGTACCCCCTACACGTTGCCACTGTACAGTTTTTATCTTGGCAACTTGTATGTGTATTTATTTGTTGTGGCATCTGCAACTTCAATCTTATTCACTCATTTGCTGATGTTTGACATAGTTTCTTGAGTGGGCAGAGCAGAGTTTAAGTGGCATGAAACTCAAATAAAAATAGATGCTTTCTGGTCAGGGAGGCATGGAAATTAACTTGAATCTTCAGTGGTTTTTAGTTTATTTCTAGATGTTGTTTGGCATGCAATCTGCCCAACAAAACAAAGCTAGTGTTCAGAACTGATTGGGAGAAATTCCTGCTCCTGTTCTCTTGGTTTGCAAGTTTATATGAACTTTAGTATTAATAGATTAAAATAAATGCCTTGCACCTTTCAGTAATAAAAGGAAACAACTAAAATCTGCACATTTTTCAACAGTAAGTCAATGACAGCACAGTAGGGTGACTGTTAGAACATGAAACCTTGAGGGACCTCCTGCATTAATGAGTCCAGTTTAGTTTCTTGCTATCATGGATGACTGCTTCATGCCCCTTTCATATACTGATCAAGAATTGTCTTAAATCAGAGTAGGGTTTTGGCTCCCCATACTCTTGTGTTCCAGGAAGTTGTTCCAGAGCCTCACTTCTCAGCTGGTTAGAAAAGTTGTAATTTCTTATTCCTGGTGACTTCAAATATACAATTATAATAGCTGAGAATCAAAATATTGGCTATTTTTAAAGACCTACTTATGTTATAGTATTCCAGTAAACAAAAGCTTATTAAACATTTCATTTTCTTTACTTTAAAATACCTTTTGCAAGTAGAAATTGTCAAAAAAGCAGTTAAAAGCTTTGTTTCAGTTTGGCTAAAATTAGGGGTGCACCGATAGAGATTTTGGGGACTGATGCCGATAGCCGATATTTAAGGAGGCATATCAGCTGATAGGATCTGATTTCCGATATAGCTGCCTCCAGCTGGTAACTCTGTTGTGGTGGAAGGGGAGTGGGGAGCAGATCAACGCCCCCCACAGTGAGGGAGGGGGGTAAGGACAGGTGTTGTGTAGCCGAGGCAGGGTAGGCATGGGACAAAGATCCCCATATTTGCGTGGGGCGGGAGGGCTGGAGCTGGGCTGCGCAGGGCTCTTCTTGGCAGGGGCTGGGCCAGAGTGGGCAATGGCGGCAGTGGGAAGGGGCTGTAGATGCCCCAAATTTTGTTGTAGCTGAGCTCCCAGCACTGGGCAGGTATGCGGCAGCGGTGCTGAGAGCAGGACAACAACAAAATTTGGCTGCACCCCTGGCTGCGCCCCCCTCCCAGCACTGCCAGTGCTCACTCCGAGCCCAGCCCCCGCCGAGAAGACCCCTGCTCAGCCCATGGCTGCAGCTTGCCCTGCCCTGCCCTGTGCAGATCTGGAGGCACCCTCACCCCTTCCTGCCCTCCCGGGCAATACAGCAAATTTTCTTTGTATTGGTACCAATCTGCCATTGGACCAATGTATCGGTGCACCTCTAACTAAAATAGTTTAAAACGTCATCAGTTTTAACATTATTGTTAAAAAAAAAAAAAAATGATTAAAGACTTGGGGCTGTTTATTTTACAGTAGAGCCTGTGCTTTGTTGTACGTATCTCACACCTTAAAAAAACAGGTCCTGCCCTGAGGAATCCGCAGGTTTATAGAGGTCAAAACAAGGGTTATATAAAGGTATTGATGTATGAACAGATTGAGTGCATGCCAACTGCCACATCACTTTTGAAGGCGTTTGTTTGTTTTTATTGTGACCTGTTAGTTCTGCTCTGTTAAAAACTCAAAAATGGTTTAGTTTCAGCTCATCTTGTTCTGTTTCTAAATACCAGATACCCCAAAATTTCTCATGGATCAAAACTCTATACGGAGTTACCTTTGTAGTCTTGGCAGCTTGATTTTTGTATTTCTTATGAACTCAAACTAATCTTTAACTTAACTGAGAGTTCTGAGTATCCTATGCATGCAGGATTTGCTCTTGGTTGTGATCATGTCATCAGTTATATTGGCTTGGACTTTGGAGTAGCTGTTGCAAGTTTGTGCTTTTTTATGCTTTATATATGCTTTTCACAGGATCACCAAATAAAAATATTATGAGGAGTAGGCATTACTGTTGCTCATTTTGTTCTAGATAAGGAAAATGAATAAATATTTCTACAACTGGAATCATAAAGATTACTGTTTGACTGTCTCTGATAAAATTAATCAGCTAATATTTGGTTCTTATTCCAATTTGCTCCTTTTCTGATTATTACTAATAATCTTCATTTGTTCGCTTCTCCCTCCTCTGTTCTTCCTCTTTCATGTTGTAAGGGAGGTGAGGAAAAAAGAAGGTGAAATTAATCTTGTGATTAAAACTTCATTTTAACCATCATTTATTTTCTTTAATCTCTGTGACCATCTAGGAATTATGTAAAAGAGTGTGTGGATGGTAGCTCTCTGCACACAAAGTATGTTAATGCAGTATTAAGACAAGGTATTCAAATAGATTAAAAAGTACAAACATTGAGGTTCAGACAACGTTCTGCACTTGGCCACATTGCTCACCTTGCCATCTTGTGGTTTGTGTAAATGACAATACTTTAAACATGAAGTGGTACTATAAATATTTGAGGAGGATTTATTGGAAATTTAACCTCTGCCAACATAGCCTAACTAACATTGTTGCGGGACTCTTAGCCCTGACATTTCCTGACTTGCTCTACAACTGTAAAGTTGTGCTGATATAAAATTTGTGTAGTATTTAATTTATATTTCATGTATCTGTGTCTCATTTGGAATTATTCATTTGTATGTACTGCTGAAGCTTTGCAAAAAATAATAATGGAAACCATATAAAAATAAGGGCTGTTTACAAACATTTAAAAAAAAAAAAAAAGCCCAACACTTTACTTTAAACTCGGTGTTCCCACACCAAGCCCCCCACATGCCCAGAAGAGGTAGATCTTAATTGGACCTGGCTTGCTCAACATCTGTATAGGTCAGGTGATTTAGCGGGGCGTTTTTGAAGCTTTTATCTACTAGCTGGTTGAATAAACTAGCTAAAAGTGCCAGAAAGCCCCACTGAAGCTCCCAATCTATAAAGATGTTGCAGAGATGGTTCAAAGCAATGCACTGCTTTTTCTTGTAAAGCACAGTTGTTTTTCAGTGTCCTTTAAACACTCCTGTCAACAGATACAAATCAACTAAATGCTTAATCCTGTATTCAGGCAAGATTCCCACTGAAGTCAGTGAAGAACTTGACTATCAACCAGGCTCACAGTTAAGGTTTTTTTGGCTTTTTTCATTTAACATTAATGTTGTCTGTATTCTGGTCTCTTATGGTTTAGTGAAACGTACATTTTTCAGGCCCTTAACTGCAGAGTTAGAATATACAGTTCTAAAAGGAAGCCATTAAGTGAAGATACTTAATCTGGGACCCATTGAAAGCACCTGAATAACTGAACACTGTTGTGAGGTTCCTAAGGTTATTTAATATCTGTCGGACACGGTGTGGAGATGATACAGGTGACCAATCAAAATCCATATTATTGCACTGACAGAATAATTCTGGGAACCCTTTTCTGAAGATAATCTATAGGATTTGTGATACAAAAGGAACATCCTTGTACATGTAGGCTTCTGTAAGGAAGGTGGGGTAAACATACTTCATTGATGGGTCTCCTTGTTTTTAATTGTTTGGCTTGTATAGTAGCATATGGAGTAAAAGCAGTGGCTTGATTATCATTAGTTATAAATTTGTATCATGGAGCATTGTCAATGTTCGTCAAGTCACTAGAAGCCTATCATAACCCTCAATTAATTTAGTTATGTCGATGTGCAGTATACCATTGTTCCTTTTTCTTCTTTCTTTTTAAGACATCATGAGATTTGAGATTGTCATCCTTGATTAGAGCTTTGTAAGGAAGAGATATTTTAAACACAGCATCCTTCTACCAGTTTCTTCTTCACTGAGCAAGATACAGAGATTGTTTCAATATTGAAACTACTCCTTGCATGGAGCTCAGCTTCAGAATTGGAATTTCCATACCAATATACCAGGATTGGGCTCTTTTTCAAGGATATATAGTAAGATGTAGAGTCTGTATGTAATCTCTATACACAGTGCTTTTGGCAGTAAGAATTTTTTTTCTATTTTGAATTTGCTTTTTAGAGCCAAGGGAACAAGCCGCCCTCTGGGTCTTGATACAGTCAAAGACACCTACTTTCTTCCTTCCACTTTCTCTTTCTCTCTTCACTTATCAGTCCAAACAATGAAACTAAGTTCATCAGAAGTGCAGTCCAAGCTTCAGAAAAAACTGTATTCCTTTAACTTAACGCATCTAGAATTTCAGTTGACAGAAGATGTTTCTTTGTGGGTCATCTATACAGTGAATTGAAAACAGAGTTTTTCATATTTTTGACTCTTCCTCATATTTGCCACTTTTTCACAAAATGCAGCTAAAGACAGTGGGCATTCTAAGATCTGTTTCCATCTTGCAGTAGTAGTAAGTAAAGGGGGAAAGTAGTCTTCAAGCATAAGTCGTGAAATAAGGTGGGCTATTAAATAATTTAAGGACTTGTGCTAGTATCCAGTACTGTTCTCTCATGCTGCTGTTCAGCAAGAAGACTTCAGCCTGTGGTGGTGTCAGGGCTGAGAGTGACAACTAAATGTTTGCAAATAAATGTTATCTTCTTCCGTATAATGTGTCTCAAAACTGAAATGCCTTATGCTTTTTGAGAAACTTGTATTTTATCCTCTGAACATAAAGTGTGATATGCTGTGTTCCTAACATCCTTTGTAATGTATATGCCATACCAGATTCTTTTTTTCTTCATTGTGGGATAAGCAAAATGTTGTGCTTGTTTGAGCTATCAAACTCCTTAGTGCTTATGTTACAACTAGAATTCTGTTTCTTGCAGGGAGTTAATTCCCAATGTCCTGCAATGGATGATGACAGTCAGGATGAACTGATAAACAAGAATGCTTCGCTAGGCAAAGGCAAAAGGCTAAATCTGGTGCTCCTTAGTGAAGCAGGTAAATGAAACCTTTGTCTGCTTACATTTTTATTAGCTAAAGAGTTGTTCTTTGGAAGGAAGCCTAGCATCTGTTCCATCTCCTAGGTTCTGCATCTTCTGTTTTTGGTTTTATTGTCACTGCTAGTCAATTAAACTGTGAGCAGCACAAGGTTGACAGCTTGATACCAAATGGTAATACAAATGCTGTGAAAAACCCAGCGTTCCTTAACAGGAATTCTGACATCTGCTTGACTGTTCTGCATGCTTTTTCTGTGTAGGGTATGCCTATTTTGTGATTGTGTACAATTAAGGTGTGTTTTCTTTTGCTCTCATTTTAAAAGAAAGCAATGATAGCAATAGTGGAGACTCAGAAGAAGACACAGGAAGTGAGGAAGATGCCACTGATGAAGATGGAGGTGAGGAGGATGAGGAAGAAGGTGAAGATGAAGATTTAGAAGGTAAGTGCTAAAAATGCTTACCTCGTGTTGGCTTCAGATGTTTCTGATGGCTGGAAGAGGAAAATTGAAACTGCTTTTCTTGTGAAAGAAGCAGTGAGGTATATTTTAAGTATTTACAGCACTTATAACTGTTCTGGTGGAGGAGTACAAAAAATATATAGCTGCTCTTGTGCCTGGTTGATACCATATTTTCTTGCATATAGCACACCCCCTTATATAATATGCACCTTGTTTTTGAAAGGCAGCATGAAGGAAAGCATCTTTTAGTAACTGAGCAGTAGCAGTAGCTAGGGAGCTGAGCCTATTCCCAAGCCTGCTGCCAGCTTTGTGTTCTGGATGAGGCCTCGGGACTGATACTATTCACAGGGGCCGGGCTCTCAGAGCCATGGCAGTTAATGCTGCCTCTGTTCCCCAACACCAAATTTCCAGATCTGGGGTTAGCCCCACAGGACAGATCTGGCCAGTGGGCCCTCTGAGCACTACTGGCAGAGCCTGCTGTTACCACACTTCCTTGCATATAGCACACAGTCCAATTTTTACCCATTGGTTTGGGGGGTGGTATAGGTTATATGAGAGAGAGTAGGGTATATTGAGAAAATAAGTTGAATTTGAAGACTACAGCTGGCATATAAGAAACATTTTGATGAGAAATATATTTGAGATGATTACATAAACAGATGGGCTGCTTTTGATTTTTTTGATTTTTTTTTTTTTTAATCATAGCATCTTGTATTTTTGTTCCTGCTGTATTCAGATATTTTGTGATGCTTGTCTGTTTTCCTCCTTTAGTTTTTAATTTCTTACCTGACATTTAGGAAGAATTTCTCTATAAGAATATTTTCTTTTTTCCTCCTTCTCCCTGCCTCAGTTTGGGTGCATGTATACATGCATCCAAAATTTGAAATAGCTGATGTTGCAGAAGAGTGCCTGGCATTGTAATTCACCAGTAGAAACTATTGGGGAACTTGAATTATTCTTGCAGGCAATGGTAAAATAAGATCAGCAGATGTTGGTATCACATGCATTAGTGAAGTAACTCAACCAACTGATCATATTTTTATCATTTTGGCAATAATAGTGAAATAAACAGCTGAAGCAAATCCAGCTGATGCCCTGAAAATGCCAAGTCCGAAGTACTGGAATATTGTTTTTGCTTTTTAGGGAAATTGGTTCGTTTAATATAATTTTTTTGTTTTAAGTATATTTTTGTGGTAACAACTCATGTGCCACTACTTTTAGCATCATCCTCTTTTCTTGTATGTTTTGATTCTTTTCTCACCCCTTTATGTCTGTCTCCTTAGAGACTCCTGCCTTTCAAGACGTGCACTGACTTCCTTGTGTATAGGAATTTGGATAGCATATTTTGAACAGATACAATTAAAAATCAAAGAAATAGTGTCATGTGATAGAGTAACAGAGCTGGCAGCTGTTTTTGGAACATGGACCTGCTGTGAACAGTTGTCTGCTGCTGTTGTGCCCAACCGATGCATCAAAATAAACAAGGACGGGGTTTTCACCTTGCCTTGGAGAATCGGAATCTAGTATGCTTCAACAAAATCTACTAACTAAATTGGTACAATAACATACATGAAAAAGAGTTGTACCTGTGCCCACGGTTCCATGGAAGACTATCATAAGGTCAACTTTTGATTTTACCAAGCTAAAATTACAAGCAGGAACCTTACAATACATTACAGTAACTTTCCTTCAAGTCTTTCTCGGGGTTTTTTTGTTTTGTTTGTTTGTTTGGTTTTCTTTTTACACCTTAATATCGCTTGGGGAGAAGGGGGAAAGA